TTGGTACAAACTGTGGGCCGCTTAGAATCACACGTGAAGTTTCCCTTTCAAAACGAAGTGAACCCACGGGAGAATGTGAGGGTCATCACTCTTAAAAGCAGAACAATTGTCGAGCAACCAATCCAAGAGAAGATTGACACCAAATCCTAGAAAATGGATGAATAAGCAATTGACTTGGAGAACGATGAGGCAAGTGACGCTAACTCCCACAAGAAAAAAGAGGATGATGCCATAATTCAAAAGAAGAAGAATCAAATACCCGAATCTGCACCATCCCCATATGCCGCACCACCTCATTTCCCATCAAGATTCATAAAGAAAGACAAGCAAACTAAAGATAAGGAGATCCTAGATGTCTTCCTGAAAGTTGAGATCAATATCCCACTCTTAGAAGTAATCCAGAAGGTCCCAAGGTATGCCCATTTCCTTAAAGTGCTTTGTAATACTAAAAGAAGACTTACCGGTCATGAGAAAGTAAACCTTAGAGAGCACGTTTCTACGATTTTGACCTGACGGGTTCCACCGAAGTTGAAGGATCAAGGTATGTTCGTTATACCTTGTAAGATCGTAAAGTGAGCATTAAGAGGGCGATGTGTGATTTGAGAGCCTCAATAAACGTGATTCCTTTATCCGTTTACAATACTCTTTCAGCCAAACCATTGAAGGACACAAGAATTACCATTCAATTTGTGGATCACTCAGTTATCTACCTAAAATGACTCTTAAAGAACGTCTTAGTAAAGGTAAATGAGCTAATCTTTTCGACCGATTTCTATGTCGTCGACATGGAAAATGACCGCTCAAATACTTCATCTGAGATTCTCCTTGGGTGACCTTTGTTTAGCACTGCCAATACAAAAATCGACGTGAGGAGCGGTATTCTCACAATAAAATTCGACGGTGATATCATTAAATTTAATGTTTATAAAGTAATATGATATATTGAAAATATTCAAGGTATTAATTTTGTTGATATGATTTAGCCTGTGGTTGATGAATTTATTGAAACTAACTGCGTCGATAAGTTTTGCAGGGAATTGGACGATTTTTATGGTGAATTGAGGGAGTTTGAACAAACTTTTTCCATTAATTCTATTTGTTATGATGAAATTACTTCACCTTTGAAATCTAAACTTTTTCCTTCTATTTTGCATGCTCTTCAAATCAAATTAAATGAATTACTAGATCACTTGAAGTACGTATTTTTTGGGCGATAATGATACTTTACCAGTGATTGTGTCGAACAAATTAACCAAGGAAGAGGAATAAGATCTTGTAACGATTTTGTGTGCGCATAAAGAAACTATTGGTTGGGCCATAGCCGATATTAAGGGGTTAAGTCCCTCAACTTGTATGAACAAGATTAAGATCGAAGAATGAGCAAAACCATCACGATAAAGACAACGCCGACTAAATATGCCGATGGTGGAAGGGGTAAAGAAGGAAATTCAGAAGCTTCTTGACGCCGGAGTCATTTATTCAATCTCGGATAGTAGTTGGGTAAGTCTGGTTCATGTTGTACTTAAGAAGATCGATGTTATGGTAATCAAAAACCTAGAAGGTGAGTTAGTTCCAACTATAGTACAAAATGGGTGACGAGTTTACATAGATTACATGAAGTTGAACTCTCTAACTCACAAAGATCATTTTCCTTTACCTTTACCTGTTATTGATCAATTAATAGAAAGATTAGCAGTAAAACTCACTATTATTCTCTCGATGGATTTTCAGGTTTCTTCAAAATCCCGATGGCACTTGAAGATCAAGAAAAGATGATGTTCACATGCCCTTTCGGAACATTCGCTTATAGGCGAATGCCCTTCGGATTATGCAATACACCTGCCACATTTCAACGTTACATGCTCAATATTTTTTCTGATTTTGTCGAGAAAGGTGTAGTGGTATTCATGGATGACTTCACGGTATATGGTAATACTTTTTTCGAATGCATTTTTAATTTATCAAATGTTTTAAAGCGATACCTAGAATACAACCTTCTTTTAAACTACAAAATATGTCATTTCATGGTCGATAAAAGGTTGATTAAAGGACACGTTGTTTCTTCTAACAGTATTACGATCAATAAAGCCAAGACCGATGTTATTCTCTCACTCCCTTACCACACTACAATAAGGGAAGTGCATTTTTTTTCTTGGCCATGCAGGATTTTATCGACGGTTTGTCAAGAACTTTTCAATGATAACGCAATCGTTATGCAATCTTCTCCAAAAAAAACCAAGCTTTTGACTTTAATCCAGAGTGCCAAAAAAGATGGAACACATCAAAGGAAAAACTAATCACGACACCAAGTGTGCAACCACCAAACTGGGAATATCCATTCGAGCTGATGTGCGATGCCTCCGACACTAACGTTGGCGCGGTTCTCAGCCAAAAAATTGGCAAGGAGCCGCACCTTAGACTCGGCTCAAAGAAATTACTCTACAACCAAAAAAGAACTTTTTGCCATAGTGTTTGCTTTAGAAAATTTTCGATCATATTTACTTGGTACTAACATTATCGTTTTTAATCATGCAGCATTACGGTACTTGATGAGCATGAATGAAGCAAAGCAGAGGCTAATTCGTTGGATTATACTCCTTCAAGAATTCAACTTGGAAATAAAAGATAAGAAGGGGCGAGAAAACTTAGTAGCCGATCACTTGAGCCGAATTCCTATCATCTCATCCGACTCGCCAATTGAAGAAGAATTTCCATAAGCCAATGTTGAAAATGAAATTAATTGTATAAAGGTTTAATGGAGAAGTAAAGACACCTCTTGAGGCATATATCATGGACAATTCCTGAAATTGAACGTCATAACAAATCCCTATACCAATTCCCCAACATCTGCATGAACTATTGATGATATTAGATTCCCACTTAAAATATTACGTACCTAGTATATTCCAATGCTGAAAACAATTCCTTGTCAGTGAAATCTAATTGAAGAGGATCTTAGTAAGTATTTCATCCAATAATGGCACAGATGTAAGGACCAGATAAATGTTATATGACAAGGGAGAAGATGATTTACCATATATGATCTAGAAAATGATTCAAACAAAAATTATGGACAGGGTAACATGTCCATGCATGCGAAGTCTTAAGGAAACATTAACATGTGTCCACAATGGTAGGAGTCTCCCCAGCAGTAAGGGTCTTGGATTCCATAAATGTAATCTTCCCAGGAATGTCAATATTAAAAAGGTGGATCTGTAGTTCCAAAGAATTCATAAATATTATGCACACCAGCTCCGGAGGGCATCTTCAAAATGATATCAGTGAACTATTGGATTGCCTAAAGGAAGCAACCAACTCGACAACATAAATCACAAATTTTTATGCTTGATAAGACTAGCATACTGATAAGTTAGTGGCAAAAGGTAAATATAAAGCTTAAGACCAATGATCATTTTCTTGCAGCAGACATCAAGGTTTAAACTTGACACAATCAGAACAATGACCGAGTATTAAAATTTAAGTGGCTTAGTCGTCTAGTAATACATGTAGATGTATGCATTTATATTCAGATGATGAATTGACAGATGTTGCACCATAGCAAAATCATTTTGTGTAATGGACAATAAATAACATGTGGCTCCAGAATAGAGTTCATTTTCTATACACTACCATGTGGGATTGGAAGTGCCTCTACCTTGCGGTGCTTGGCTTTCAGCTTTTTATACAACTTATCCTCACAGCGCTCAGGTATAGAGCCTCCAACTATCGTGATCCTTAGTTGAGCAGAAACTTCAGCCAACATAGTTGTTGAAGGAGATAAATTATGCCCTGCATCTATTTCTTCATCATAAACTGGGAAACTCTCATTCGAATATGGGCTGTTCCATATTTCCTGATACAGAATGACAGACAGAAAGAGAGGGCCTTGAGATGTTGAATCACAAAAACTATTACACGTAATTGGTGAACACTAAACCCACCATTTCATGGACCACCAACATGGTTAAATATTCCACCATATATTTGGCTCACATGAAAATCTTAACTTCCATTTTCACCAAAAAAAATATTAAAAAGAAAAAAAAAGCTTCAACTAAGACGCATGATCACCATTCAAGGCTAGCTTTGTCCGAGTAACAAGATTGAAGTATAAATCATCCACGCAGTCATACGCAACAATTAATTGGTTTACAATTTTAATTTATCTGGTACGACACAATGTCCTAAAACCCAGTAAGCTTCTCAATTTTCAAGCCTGGAATCTGATACAACCAAGATAAGTTATGCACAAACTGTTACCTAACGAAAACCCTCATTCGAGTATTAGAAAAGAGAAACCTTGAGACAGAGACAAGAAGAAACAAAAAACTCACAGGCAATACAACAAGCTGAGCACCCTTTTGAGCAGGCCTTACGAGCATGCTTTATGTTCCTCTCTTTATCAGGTGTCACCGACAACTGGCAAAGCCCAATCTTGATCTATAGCAACAACCCAAAACAGATCACGCACCACTATATCACACACAGTTAAAAACAACTGATATATACTAATACGGCAAAGCCTTGTTCAGGCTTGAAAGCTGATGACATTATGGAAGTTAAGCTGGGAATTGGAGCTTTTGGTAAAGGTTTCTGGGGATAGTAGGAACCAAGAATGTTCTTTTGAGAAATGTGTTTTGACCAGAAGAGAGCGTGAGATTGTGGGAATGAGATCCTTAAACCATGAGATCGTTGACTCAATTTTTCCTTTTATTATTTCACTTTTTGTTTAGTTTGTCGCTTCTGGGCCATTTGCTTTTTTGGTGGTACAAGGAGCTTTTAATTGAAACCGACGGTGCAAGTTGTAAATTTAATTTAAAAATTCTGAACTTCAAATACCAACTAAGAAAATAATTATTTTATAATATATACATATTTATTTATTGAAAATTTATGTAATTTTGTGAAATGGCCTTCTCTTTAAATTTTTTTCTTCTATTTTTAATATAAAAAAGGGATTATTATCCCATTTTTTTGTTCACGAATTGGCTCACATATTTATGCCTTTCCTTCTTTCTCCCTCCATAGTCCTAGAGAGAAACAAAGAGAAAGGGTCAGTTAATTACTCTTTAAAACTAAAACAAATTCTGCCTTTGTTAATCTTTCTTTTCCCTCCTTTTCCTCTCACCCTCACAGTACGTTTCCTTCCCTTTTTCTCTGCTTCTCGATCCCCACTCTCCCAAACAAAAAAGCCTTCTCTTTGAAAGAGAAGCGAAAAGGAAGAAAACAATCAGTCCGGACTATGGATGGCGGTGTTCCGTACAACCCACGTTCCGTTGAAGAAGTCTTCCGGGATTTCAAGGGTCGTCGAGCTGGCATGATTAAAGCCCTTACTACTGGTGATACTTCCCAACTCTCCTTGTATATTCACTGCTCTTTTCCTCTTACATGACTTCCATTTTCTTAACCATCTTTTGTTTTTTGGGTTATCCTTTGTCGTTTCAGATGTGGAGGAATTTTACCAGCAGTGTGATCCAGGTACTGCGTTTTGGGTTTTATGGAGAATTAATTTATGGGCTTTGTTTTGTTGGGTTGATGTAATGATTTATCTTGAAATTGAAATTACAGTTTTTATTTTACATGTCGTTTTCTTTTCATTTATAAATGAAGCAGAAAATTCAAGTCCGGTGATTGAAGTTGTCTAAAGTTTAGTATAAATGAAGTTATTAGTGTACCCCACATGATATTTAAGATTGTAGCTTTATTGTTGTTTAGACTTATGGCCTGAAGAAGCGCTTTAATTATGTGGTTACCATTTTCTGCTTAAATATCATTTTCTCTTTGAAAATAAAAATGATTTGTTGAGCCGACTGAGTAAGTATGATATCTGTATGTTTAGGTATTGTGGATTTAATCATTTCAACATTACTGTTGTTGTTCCTTGTTGTGTTAGAAATGTAGGTCTTCTTTCTTTCTTTTAACAACTATACTTTTGTAGAAGTTGGCATGAACAATCCTTTGTATTGTTTTGTTGGCCAGAAAATTTAAGATTGTTATCACTGCTTGATTCTTATTGGCAATTTTAGATGGCTTTGATTTGGATGAAAAAACATGTGCGTCTGAAGTTGGATGCAGATGGAATAAACTCAGTGTGGTTACCTTGTCTTTTATTCGTTCCACCTTGTGAAGTTGTAGATGCAAAGAACGGAATGAGATAGTTCAAATGTTAAAATTTTGATTGCAGAAAAGGAGAATCTTTGCCTTTATGGATTTCCTAGTGAGCAGTGGGAAGTGAATTTACCTGCAGAAGAGGTGCCTCCGGAGCTTCCAGAACCCGCACTGGGTATTAACTTTGCGAGAGATGGAATGCAAGAAAAGGACTGGTTGTCTTTGGTTGCTGTGCACAGTGATGCGTGGTTACTCTCTGTGGCTTCCTATTTTGGTGCTAGATTTGGATTTGATAAAGCTGATAGGTATTTTTCACAATACCCAAGTGTAGTCTAGTGGTTTGGTTTTTATCTACATATTCTAGTGGAAATAAGCTAATTTATTAAGTTAGCATGAACACAAGTCTAGCCTAGTTCAGTAAAATAATTGATTAATTTCTCTTTTACTTTCAATGTTTTGTTTATAAATATATATATATATTTGCATTGGCTAGTTTAATTTATTTGCAAAGCGGCTCTAGGTGTTAACCAAATTACAAATTAATTTTTCACAATACCCAAGTGTAGTCTAGTGGTTTGGTTTTCTACATATTCTAGTTGGAAATAAGCTAATTTATTAAGTTAGCATGCACACAAGTCTAGCCTAGTTCAGTAAAATAATTGATTAATTTCTCTTTTACTTTCAATGTTTTGTTTATAAATATATATATATATTTGCATTGGCTAGTTTAATTTATTTGCAAAGCGGCTCTAGGTGTTAACCAAATTACAAATTAACCTTAACATGAACCACTTACAAATTATGAGTTTACATTAGAATTTAGAAACAAGGCATAGCATAGTGAGCTTGACTAAATTGGGAATTGGGATGCTGTGTACTAGATTTGCATGTGGCTATAACAAGTTTGCCATATTTTGCACTACAATTTTTACTCGTTTATACCATGCTGATTGATGTGATGCAGGAAACGCCTTTTCAATATGATAAATGATCTTCCAACAATATTCGAAGTTGTGACAGGAGCGGCTAAGAAACAGATGAAGGAGAGGTCTTCGGGTCTAAATCATAGCAGCTACAAATCTAAGTCAAACTCTAAGGTACTGAAAACCTTTTTCTTTACTGTTTCATCAAACGTTTAATAGGTGTGATTTTAGGGTTATGATGGGTTGGCGGTGTTGAAACTAAAACATAATATTATTTATTCTCACTATTTGAAAATGGCTTCTGACATTGCAAAAGCTCTAGCAGTTTAAGTGTAGTTCTTCGAAACTGTTGCCACTGTCGTTTGTTACATCAATATTTATGTAAACTTCATTCTACTCGTGGTGGTGGCTGACTCGAAAGAGGGAAGTAACTTCAAATTTTCAAGGAGACCTTATAAAATAGAATTTTCTTTTCCCTTTTGTGTTTGACAAAATGCAGCAAGGTTCTGAAGCTCAACCCAAATATTCAAAGCCAGTGCCACCAAAGGAAGAGGATGATGATGATGAAGAAGATGAGGAGCATGGAGATGCATTATGTGGGGCTTGTGGAGAAAATAATGGAGCTGATGAATTCTGGATTTGCTGTGACATATGTGAGAAATGGTTCCATGGAAAGTGTGTCAAGATTACACCAGCTAAGGCAGAGTACATTAAGCAGTACAAATGCCCATCGTGTAACAACAAGAGAGCACGGCCTTGATGACGGCCAGTTACTGTCTCGTGTGTGAATTCTATCATTGTGGACTTTGCTAGCTGCCTAGAAGCCTCAAGTATTTTCTTAGTCAATTATGTTCCTTTGTCTTGGCATATCTTTCATAGACTTTATGTGTGGGTCGCAATTCTCTGTTTAAGTTTATTATAAAATAGGATGTTATTAAGGCCGGGAATCATTTTTCTTAGATATTGGAAGGGAGACCGGACTTGATTCTTCTTGTGTTTAGGTGCGTGCGAATTCATTTCCTTTTTTAAATCTATTTTCACTCTATTTTCCTTGTTTGGGGGCAGCAACAGCAAAGTATAAGACATGGTTCATTCCATCACAATGACCTGCTTGATGATGGCTCTTGGGCCGAGTGGTGTTTAACTCGACCCGTATTTCCTTGATTGAGACGCCTTATCCACCATGAAAGGCACATGACTTGTATCATGCCATGTGTGAGCCAACTTTTTGTCAGTTTGGGTTTTGTAACTCCATTAAAAGCAAAAGAAATGGTTCTACTAGATTGTAACTGCAACTGCCAAATGAAATAAGCATGAAAAGTGATTGCAACGGTGGTCTTTTCATTAGTAATAGCAGAGATAAACCTACGAGGTGCGGTGTGGTCGGACCTTAAAATTTTAAAATTACTATATATTTCAAATTTTTTCTGTGTATTTTTTATTAAAATTATGCTTTCATCTTCTAGAATTTTATTAGTTTAACTTTATCCCTTAAAATTTTATAAGTTTAATTTCGTTCCCTTGACATAAAATCTTATGTCCGTTTCTAGCAAGACGTTTTCTCTGCTGTAAGTAGGGTTCATTTTAGAGACACAAAACCTCAAATTGGTTCACGGATTTTGCGTCTATCTACCATGGATGAAGTTTCTTTTTTCTTAACGGAGGAAGACATAAATTATAAAATACGTTATTTTTTAATAAAAAAAGTAAGCGGAGCAGATGGAGCAGTGTTATCGATTTCTGTAGCGTTTTGTATGAGATCATACTTTCTTTTAAAGAGGTCATCAAATTGGTTTCAGTCTCAGACAGACAAGTATGCTGTATGGCTGTTGTGGTGAAATTGTGGATAAAAATGAGAGGTAACACCGAACGAGAATGGTGGGTAGGCCTGCCCTGCCCTGCCCGTAGTTTTCTGGTTGGTGTTGGATATGGTCCATGATAAATCCAAGAGGCTCCAATCGGCCCCTGGTTTTTCAGTCCCGACTCCGACTCCCATATTTAAAATAGGAAAACGTAAACTGCCCCTATCATTTATCATTTCTCTCAGTTGCCTGCCGGCTGCCGCCAACCGTTGCTTCTTTACTTGTTTGCTTTTACCGATGCTAATGGCAGTTTCTGGATTAAGCTAGCATAAATTTACTTCCCACATTTAAGATGAAAGTGAGCACTAATCTACCATATCTAATAATCTATTAAATGCCGCAACTTTTTGCATTGTTCCACCATATCTAATCCGCCTTACCCACTTAATATTTTATCTTTTATTTTTGGGTTAAACATCAAGTATACATGCAAGTAACGAAACCCATCACCTAGCACCCATATCTACACTAAATTATTGTTGCTAAAAAGAGAAAGATAAACAAAAATAAAATGTCAGCACATTTAATTTGAAGTCTTGACAGTTCCATTACAATTTAGACATGGTAGATTGATAAATGAACAATATCTGAGAAAAAGGTTCAGATAAAAGGAGATTGTGTAACCCCTAGACCCGGCCTATGCGTTTCGACTAAGTCTAGTGGATCACATTATGATTATTAAAGATATTTTCCGAAACCGTTATTCCATCAATATAAAATCACATTATAAATAACATGAAATTATAAACAAATTATACTATCAAAATCCAACTCGTAAATATAGTACCAATAAATAATAATTTAATTTAAAACATGTCTTCAATTTCAAAATCACAATAAACTGAGCAATAATAGCAAAAGAGTCATCATTATAAAATTTGATATTTTAAAATAAGGTCCATGTCACCAAAATAAAGTCAATTTGCAAGATAAAAACATTACAATCTGATTTACTTCAAGAGATATGTTGATCCTCCAAGTGCTCGAACCGAGGTATCTAACCAATAGTATCTGAAAGGGGGAAAATTTTTTCAAAAGGTGAGCTAGGCTCAGTGTGTCCCAACATCTCCATAAAATCACAATAGGTACAAATCATAGTCCAGTAATCTCACAAATTCGTAAAAGAGTTTAACTTTTGAAAATCATAGTTTAAACCCTTTTCTGGTACACCATCAGTAGTTCCCAAAATTATTTTCCATATAACTTACTTTATGCACATAGCAAAAAGAAAGCCGACTTAAGGATAGGCTCTGAAGCTTGTATCCTTAATCCCTAGTCAATAAGTCTATATAGATTACCCTAAGCACACAGCAAAGGAAAGACGACCTAATGAAACATCTTGGGGCCCTCAAGAGTCACATTAGGCCCAGTTAGCTTGATCAGAGCTATTCCATCGTAATTCAATTCCAAAATTCAATTGCACCGTGACATAAATTCCATAAATCCAAAAACATGGTAATCATATACCATTTCAAAACAAAAATTAGATAGCAGCCATATTCCATAAATTGTCACATTAAATTGGTGCATCCATAAAACAATAACCAATGAATTCGGTGTACCACATATTAAAACCAATAAAACAGTTCAATAACACACCTCGACAATTGGTTCAAATAGCAAATCTACTGATTGCTGGTTTCACCACGCTCTGCTACAGTTTTCGAACGGGTGAATACTGGCACACGTGGTTTAACTGATCTAGAAGAGCTGGGTCGAGCTGTCGAACAATCCGGAGAGTCTCTTGTACCTTCAAACAATAATATTTATCAGTCCCAAATCCTATTTAATTATTCAAAGCTAAACTTCTTAAGTATATAAGCATTTTTCGGGATTGACTATCAATTTGGGGTATTTCTAGTCAGCATTTGGAAAACGGATTGCGGAATCGGAATCAGGGCGTCGAAATACATAAAGTATGACTTTCCGAAAATTCAAATTCTTGGTCAAAATCAAAGTCAACCACTTTGACTGTCGATTTGGAGACCTTCGGATTTGAATTTGACGAAACGGACACGGAAACGGATTCGGCACGTCGAAAACTATCAGGATAGGTACTAGGAAAAATTAACGAGTTTAATAGCCGGTCAAAGTGGTCAAAGGAGGTCAAAACTATTGAACATTTTACACAAATAGCACCCTTTTTAAAATAATCACCAAAATAGCACCCATTTCAAATTAATTACCAGAATAGCACCAAAATCGAATTATTTACCAGAATAGCACCAAAACTGAATTATTTACCAGAATAGCACCGGTCAACTTTCAACGATCGGGTCGTGTCAACGGGTCGGGTGTCGGGTAGTGACCGGTCAAACAGGTCAAACCCTTAAGAAAACCGGTTGAATCGATCACTCACTCGCCCAACGGCGGCGCGTGTGGCACGTGAGGTGTCCTCCGGGGCTCTAAAAATTAGGGAAAATTTTCTAAAAATTATTTTGAGCGTTTTCGATATACATACAAAGTTCTGTTCAAATTTTTGAACATCGGAGAGCTCGAATTCATCAAATCGGGTAGTTTGACCGGTTCACCTCCCCACGCGCCGCCGCCGCCGCCGGAGAAAAAGGGGAACACCGGTGGACTCGGAACGGCACAAGGAACACGATGGTGCGGGAGGTGTCGTAAACGAAGCAACGATCAGCAGTGAATTTAAGATTTTCTCGGCGATAGAGCTAACAAAAACGTCACTACTTTGACTGGAAATTCCCAACGTTTGGTCGCGTTTCGCTTCAATTAATTTGAAGGGTTTGTTCCTCGCTCGATGATGAACACAACGGTGGTTTCAAAACAACGATCGGAATTCGGAAGGCGTCGGAATCGGAGTTGGAAACTGCGTATAGGAAAGGAAAATTGGGAGCATTTTGGTTCTGAAAATCAGAACCAAATGCACGCTTATAATCAAAGCTGCATACAGTTTTAGGGTAAATTCAAGGCTTGGTCCTTGGATTTCCTTCACTTCTAAAATGGCCTATAAACTCTCATAAATTTTGATTTAGTCACCAACAATTTACCAATTTTCACAATTAACCTCCAATTTCAATTAATTATTATTTTGTAAATATTCGGGTTGTTACAATTCTCCCCCTCTACAAGAAATTTCGTCCTCGAAATTTACCTTATGAGAACAGTTGAGGAAACTGAGCCTCCATTGACTCCAATGTCTCCCAAGTAGCTTCTGAGGGGCCTCGATTACTCCATTGAACTTTGACCATTGGAATGCGACTATTCCGAAGAACTCTCTCATCTCTTTCTAAGATATGAATGGGCTCTTCCTCATATGACAAATCAGGTCTCAGCTCTATTTCCTCAACCTGAATGATGTGACTTGGATCTGGACGGTATCGCCTTAACATAGACACATGAAAAACATCATGAATACGACTAAGATGGGAAGGCAACTCGATCTGATAAGCAACAGGTCTAACTTTCTTTAAAATACGATACGGCCCAATAAATCGCGGACTCAGTTTACCCTTACGTCCAAATCTCAATACTTTCTTCCAGGGTGAAACTTTTAAAAGACCTGATCTCCAACCTCAAACTGTATATCCTTCCTCCTTTGATCTGCATAAGATTTCTGCCTATCAATTGCCTCTTTCAGACGGTCACGGATTAATCTGACTGTGTCCTCCGTCTCACGCACTAACTCAGGTCCCAACGTTTTTCTATCACGCAACTCAGTCCAACAGATCGGAGTACGACATTTACGCCCATAGAGTGCTTCATAAGGTGCCATACGAATGCTGGTCTGATAACTATTATTGTAAGCAAATTCAGCCAACGGCAAAAAGTTCTCCCAACTACCATGAAAATCGATTACGCAACCCCGTAACATATCCTCCAGAATCTGAATCACTCTCTCAGATTGACCATCAGTGTGTGGATGAAAGATGTACTATAATCCAATCTTTCCCAAAGCCGTATTAGCGCCTTCCAAAATCTCGAAGTAAATCTTGGATCTCGATCAGAAATAATAGACAATGGAACACCATGTAATCGTACAATCTCTGAAATATACAATCTCGCCAGCTTGTCTAAAGTATAATTTACCCGCACAGGAATGAAGTGAGCTGACTTTGTAAGTC